CGTGTTGGTCTAAGCACATAGGCAGACAAGGTTCCTTCGGTGAATTTGATATCTTTTATTGAGGCAAATTGTTGGGTTGCTGTGAGGAAAGCTGGGACAGCTACTGCCTGTCCTGTAAACCTGTGTGAATACAGACACTCTGTCTTCAGACTTCTCAGTCAAGCACTTTCCCTTCCTAATGCATTTTCTTGTTACAACAAAAAAAAGAAAAGAACTCAACCATATTTATTTACTGTTACAGCATGTAAGACGATTCCAGTTTCCATGTGAGCTGGAGATGCTCTCAAATTCTCCTTCATCTTCAGGTTTGTGTCTGTTTTCCTCCTTATGGAGCTTTTTTTGCTTATGTTTGGTGGGGGGGAAGGAGGCAAAAAGATGGACTTGAGCGTGTATCTCAGGGTAAGGAACTACAGAGTTATAGCCCTGCCAATGCTACTAGGGAGGTCACTTTGCCCTGCTGTCTGTAACCTAAGGATAATGATATCTCCTACATCATTCACAAAGGTGTTTTGTGATCTGAGACCATTGATGGTCAAAGGACATCTACTTCAAGCCCATCACAGGCCATTGCCAATATGAAGCAAGCTGCCGAAGACCATAGGCCAGGAACAAGACCGAGGGAATAAAATAAATCCCGTCACACATGCCATTAACTGACAAAGACTTTTAATGCCTTTGTTGATTTCCCATTCCAGAAATTGTACACTGCATGCTAAAATCACTGTCCAGGACTGTCTTCCTACCTTAGCACTCTACCGATGTGGTTACCATGTGCAGCCTTACCTCTCTTCCTATTATAGCTTGGCACTGGAACTTCTTAACTCCTGTACCCCAGGCTAATGTAAGCTTTATAACAAATTGCATGTTTTGTATTGCATTAACATACACCCCAACCATGTATGCACATAGTTACCATGCGGATAATGCTGTATTATCTTACAGCTCTACAAAACTGTGTAAATAACCATGAATTTTAGCATTTTCTAATAATGTTTTGAGGGTGAGGCTTGAGATTTGTCAAAAGGAGCCAAAATGAATCAACCACCCAAATCTCATTGAAATTCAATGAGAGATGGGTTGCTAATTCTTTTTGGCTGCTTTAAAACTCCTGGGCGGAAAGCCCAATATAAATGCTAATAATTGCTATAATTTATTCTGCTATGTTTTAGTTCATTGGTGAGTTTAACTTTTTTCCAAAGTAACTTCTTTCAAACTGCTTTGTAATTGCTTTCTAACATGGAGTCCTTGACTTATTTCTGCAGTTCACACCCTGAGACCGTCTGACATTAAAGCAGTCACTGCAATAGGAAGTTTGCAAACTGTAAGTATAATCATGAAATGTGCTCTGAGGTGAGCTACCATACTCAGCACAATGCTGTTTCTGTAACAACCAGTAACAAATTCCAATTGAGTTAATGATGCAGGACTGCATCCTAGTTAGGGTGTTTAGGACTTGAAACCTTCAGAGCTGGCAATGTGCAGTGGTAGAGGCATCAGATTACTACCTTCCATAATATAACTAATTCCAAGAACTCTTGCATTGCCCTAGTCAAGTGACTCAACCAGGGTGCCATGAGATCCTTTCAAGGCTTCTGCACAATGTTAGCACTGTGAAGGGTGCAAACATGACTCACAAGATAAACCCAGAGATTTGAAATAGGGATCTGTAATGTAAAAAACAAATTCTGACTTGGTGTGATCTTTCTGAGTTTGAGTTCTTTGCAAGAGAAGAATTGCTGTATTAATTTTCTGGAGTTAAAAAAAACAAGTGAAAACTAAGAGCTGGCATTTTCTGAGGGATGCTTTCACTCTAAACAGGTTGAGAGCCATGGCTGTAGTTCAACTGCAATGTTATGGGCTTGATAGTTCCTTGGGTGAAATTCTCTGGCCTGCAGGTCAGATTAAGTGGTCATTTCTGTCCTTAAGATCTCTAGTCATAAATCTGTGAAAGAGAATGGGGCCTCACATAAGATGGTTTGATCAGAAGTCCTCTGCATTCTGGGAGAGCTTAGACCCACATGCTTGATTAAAATGTTGACATCCAGGATTATAACTGCAAAGAAATGTCATTATTTGCTTCTTGCCACAACTCCCCCATATTTCCTACTCTGTATTTGTGCATACAGGAAAATCAACATGGAAAGGCATTGTGGTAGTGGTGGTGATGCTTGTGGAGGAACAAAAGGTTACTTCAAAGCAAAATTGAAATCACCACTACTGAAATAAGAGGTAGTCCCATCTAAACAGCCACTTTTCCTGTAGAAACTTTTAGAAGGAGTTTCACAAACAGCTTACCATTGCAGGCCCTAAACCTGTGAGGTACCATACAACTTAAATTCTGGTTGTATTGGATGACACTCAACACTTTGAAGAAGATGCTCAGTAACTCGCAGAATTTGGTTACAAACTGCAAAGTCTCTCTATTACCTACACCTGTCTGCCATACATTTCTAAGATGTGTTGCAGAACTCATGCATTTCTAAGAGAATATTATGGTCCTTCTGTGCTTTTCTCTCTTGAGAGGAGCTAATGATACTCGACTTACCCTAGATCTTATTTTTCTTCATTTATACTAATTGCAGCTCAACACATTAGAACCCCCTTGTGTTAATTCTTCTATGGCATTGGTTAGGTGCTATGGTAAGAAATGCATAATTATTTGCATTTAAGAAAAGTTGGCTTCAGGAAAGGGGACATCTCTGGTTGTCTCTGGGACCAACCCAAAGCCCACTGGAATCAAAGGATTAAAGGAAAACAGGGTTGGAAGGGACTTCACAAGGTCATCTAGTCCAGCCTGCTGCTCAAGGCAGGATCATCCCTGACCAAATCATCACAGCCAAGTGTCTGTCTCACCCACTCTTGAAAACTCTCAAGGATGGATATTCTGCAGTATCTCTAGGTTGAAAAACGAAGACTTTTCTATTTATCTTAAGGTTTTATACTAATGTCTACTAAAGCTGCATGCCTTCCATGTAACTGACCTACAAGGATTTTGGCAGACAAGTTTCTTGTCTTCCTATGTCCTTAGACCAATGCAGATACAACCAGCACTTGCTACAAAGGACTTTGGATCACGGTCCCTGTTGAAATGGGTTTAAGCCAACAGGTGCCTATATATTCTAGGAAACCAGTTCAATCCTTTCCTTGGGATATTAAAAGTTAGAGTATGTTAACTTTTAAAACTTATTTGATACATAATTTGGACTATTCAAATGTATGGAAGACATAGTCACTAAACTATAAGACAATGCAGTGCCATAAGGAAACCCTAAAAGTAATTACCCTGAGAGCTAACCTAAAAATATGTGAATAATTAGCGTGTTGTAATTTAAAATATAATGGGGACAAATATTTGCCATAGTTACAATATAAACTGTGATAAAGCTAGAAAGCAATTTACTTTCTTAGTAACACTTTTATTGGTATATGTTTATTCACAGACCCTGGCTTCTGGGATGAGTAATGAAGACTTACTTCAAAGGTAGCAATAAACTGTTGTTCGTTAGTCCTGATAACATCTATGTGCTAACTCACAGTGCAACATGGCAGCGATGAGGGCTAGGTTCTGAATTCAGGAAGCACTCAGTTTTTGTCATATCCTCAAATTGCTTTTGTATATTAGTGTTCAGAAGCCGGGTAATGATCTGATTAAAAATATGAATCCGAGCCATTATATCCCTCATCACCTTAGTGTTACTAGACAGGCAAGGTTCTTTGTGTAGATGTGATATCTGTTATTAGATCAACTGAGTAGTTGGAAAAAAGTTCTTTGCAATCTTTCAGGTGCAGTCACCCTTCTTCAGGCATTTGAGTCTCCATCTCCTTCCAGTCTCAGAACAGCAGAGACTTCCTATGCCTGAAGAAGGGTGATTATACCCTTCTTGCAAAGAGCAAAGAACTTTTTTCCAACTACTCAGTTGGTCTAATAAAAGATATCACATCTACCCAAAGAACCTTGCATGCCTATGTCCTTAGAACAACACGGATTCAACCAAAAAGCTAGCAACATGGTGTTAATAAAAGCACTTAGCAACTTTTGTGCAAGGATGGCAGATGGCTTGTAAATGTTGATTGAACCTCATGAAATCATGACAAAGTCCGTATGCTATTACCATCCACTGTTAACTGATAAGGAGACAGAGAGGGGCTAAGTAATTTTTCCATAATTTAGAGGGAGCCACTGGCAAGATGAAGAACAGACTCGAGAAGTCCTGATGTCTAGTCTCTGGCTCTGATCACCAGATCACCTCCCCTGGATGCTGGTGTGAGACTTGAGTGCTTCCTCAATATGCTTTATATTGTTTTCTTCTCTTGGTCCCAGTTATCAGAACTGTTAAATCAGTAAGAGAAAAAGGCTTGATTCTCAGCTGGTACATATCTGCATGGCTCTGTTGAAGTCAATGGGCCAGTGCCAGTTTTCACCAGCTAGGGGTGCATGCTTAAGTAAGAAAACTTTAAAGGACAAAACTTTAAAAATGATTGTTCTAATTTTGCTTGTACAAACATATGTATCCACTCATCTGGGTGCCCTTGCACAGGTGGATGCATGATCTAGGCACTGCATTGTTAGTTTTCATGTACTACTACTGACACATACAGTATTTGTGTAGATAGTTTGCAGTGCAGATAAAGTTGGATGGAAATAAAATTAATAAATTAAAAATAAACAGTGCTGGAAACAAAAGCACTGATAGCTACTTCTTCCTTTGCCTTTCCTCTAATGCACAAAATCTGTATTTTGATGAGGCTCTGCAACTGCTGATACCATTATAGTATTATGTGAGGAATCCAGCCAGGAGAGACCCAGCTCTGTTAGGTGGGGCAGTGATTTCAGCAACTGTTGGAAGAAGCATGAAACTCTGAACTCTTGTCAGGGAGAAATTAGTATGGTGCTGTTATGGGGCACTGTATTTAGGAAAAATGTAATGAAAGCCAACTTAATATGGGTATGTGTGTTTGTTGTTTTTCCTCTCCATCTATAGCACAGAAAGAAGCCTCATTGAAGCAGGCATGGAAACGCTTGCAGGTGTGTCTTGTTGTTTTGTTCTTAACTGAAACATAAGCAAATCGTGTATGTGACTTACTGACTATGCATCATTAAAAGTGAAGTGGGTGCAACTGCTTTGCTAGGCCCTTCGATTAGGTGCAGTATCAGTGCACTGAATGCTGGAAGGGGGAAACTGGGGATCTGTCTATATTGCAATTGGAGGTGTGACCACAGCCTGAATAGGGATAGCTACACTAGCTTTACTCAAGCTAGCTTGGGTAACAATAGTAATAAAGCCTAGGCCCGTGTATCTGCATAAAGCTTTGGTGCAGGCTGTCCAAGTTCACCAGGGACTCTGGGTGCACGCTCAGGTAGTTGGTCTATATGTTCACATGCTCACAATTTTGGTTACTCATGCTAGCTAAATTAAACCCTCTGCAAGTATGCCTGCCCATGTGACAATCACTTTGCAATGAGATCAGGACCCAAGTCACACTCGCTCTACAAGCAGACACCCCTCCCCCACTCCAGAATATGAAAAGGTCAGTCAGTGGTCACTCCCAATCTTAACATGGTTAAGGCAAACCAGTTTCTATAGCCAGCACATTTCCTGCTCCCAGCACCTTCCGCTGGCTGCCCAGAGTGTAGCCCAGTACAGCCCTGGCCCCACCCACCCCACGCAGATCTGGGGGCATATACCACCCCCATGCTCTTCTAGACCAGGGGTGGGAGCAGAGGCAAGAGCCACTGGATGAGCTGCCAGATGAGCAGCTCCCGGACTGGCAGGGCGTAGGGGGAGGGGGGGGGCGCCCCGTAGTGGCAGGAGCCACTCACCCCCTCCCCATGCCCTCCCACCCCAGCTGGGCAGCTCTTGCCCCAGCCCAATCCCACCCTCACTGCAGGGGCATTGATCTGCCTCCCCCCCGTCCGCCGCCAAACTGACTTACCAGCTGGAGGCAGGTGTGCCAAGCATGGTAAAGGAACCAATCCCCCATTTATAACATTATTCCTATGGAAAATTGTTTCCAAGTTACAATGTTTCAACTTAAGACCTGGTTTTCAGGAACCAACTGCATTTTAAGTCTGAGGACTGCCTGTAATCGAAAGATGCAGTTTCTTCAGTTCTACAGTCATTAGAATGAAATGTGCGTCTCTCTCAGATTCATAACACAAAATGTAGCCGCTTTGAGCATCTTGACATTTCAGCCAGTGAAAGTTGTTTTCATACGTGAGTCAATGTTCACCCAAGTTAATATTTTCACACCTCCCAGATCTACCTCTTTGTCTGCTCATGTGAAAAGTCTCTTATTACCCATCCAATATCCTGGCAATACCAGGGCTAAAGCAAACGGATTGAAACTTCATGCCATTATTTCTAAAACTCATAGCATGCGGGAACAATGTCCTTGGGAAGAGCTGTGGTAGATCCCTGATGTAGCACCTATAGCACTTGTCAAGGGGTCCATGATCCTAGTTTGGCTTCTTTTCATTCAGTTCACTGTTAGGGGTACCATGTCAGAGTGGCAGCCCTTGGCCTCTGGGAATTTACTGACTCCTGTGTCATTCAGCTCTCATTAGCAGGTTTAATCCCTCTGTCTGGCATCAGTCTTCTCTTGGCACTAGAAGAGCAACATCAGGAAGCAAATCCATGTAAGTGGACTTTTTTAATGATGGTTAAAGGTGCAGGGCTGAAAGCCCAGTGGGAATGAATATTAATAGGACACAGCCCATGCACATCACAAGCAGCCCCTGCAAAAGAGGTTCAGCTCTCATTTGTCAGTGCCAGGATTTAAAAGGACTCTATGGCCTCATCAGTATGCTGAGGGACAGGTCTTTTGATTTGAAACCAGGTTTGTCTGTCTGTCTTTCTTTCAAAATGGCCACTGACAGGAGGGTTTGCTCAGAGCTCTGAAAGCTTCTCTCTGTTTTGTGAGCCCTTCTCCTTCTCTTGTTTTGTTTTCCCTCCCCGAGACAGTCTGACCCCTTCCCCACTTTTCATTACTTTTTCCTGCTCCCCATCCCTTACTCAGACCTTTCTCCTGCAGAAATACTCTGCCCCTCCCTTCCCCTCCCTCTCCCTCAGGATGATTTTTGTTTTCCCTCCCTCTCCCTGCAGCTTTTCTGCTGCTTATTGTTTTCCCTTCCCTTTCCTGCTACACTGCTTACCTTTCTCCTCTCCCCTGGGGTTAGTTTGTTTTTTTCCAGTTTCTTTGTTCCCTGCCCTGCCCATCCCCCAACCCCTCTGGTTCCTTGCAGGGTTAACCATGTTTTTGCTGGAATGGCTGAAGGCAGCTCCCAGCAGTTCACTGCTGGGGCTTCAGCCCCTCTGGACCAGAGCTTTGGTCTCTGGCTTCATGCCCCTCCCTCCATTGGAGTGGATGAGTGTGCTGCTGCTCTGGAGGTGCTCATAGACTGCAAACATGTTCTCTGTGCTCCCCAGGTGAGTTTGTTGTGCCCCAGCTCAAGTCTGGGATCGTCCCCGGTATGCAAAGGCCAATAAAGATACCAGGGGTGAAAGTACAAAGAAGGTTTATTGCTAGCAATAAAAGGTGCAAGCGGAATAATTCACATAACAAGCACACCAGATCACTATTTCTAAGCATCTTTTATACAGGAGTTTTCAAGCCTTCGCAAGCGTGCTTGTTTAATGATTGGTTATAAGTGAGTGACACAAGAAGTTCTTTACTGAGCATGTCTCTATACCTGTGTTTTAGCCATGTATCTCATTTACATACATATGTGTTTCATTAGCATACTTTTTCCCCACCTAGGGGTGTGATTTTTAGTATTTTAATGAGCCCTTTAACCCAGTACTCTGTTTCTTCTTTTGTTTTCAAGCCTCCTTTATCCGAGACTGTCTCCTCCTTATCATTGCAGATGGGCATTTTTCACATGGCATTCTCTTCTTCTTATCGTCTCTGAGTAGAGGTTTCTAGGTCACTCCTTACATTTCCCCCCTTTGGAGCATTTTTAATTATTATTATAACTGCTCCATTCAATTTGGTTTAACACAAATCTAGTATCATCAGCTTTCTTTGTTTGTAAAATCATTTGATTTACCTTAGGCCTGAAGATAGATATAAAAACAGGTAAGCATTGGATACAGCAACAAACCATAATTCCTATAATACAGAACAAGACAACTGTACTAACTAACTGTCTCAACCATCTAAAATTGGGAAGCCAGGAATTTAACCAGGAAAAGTCTAAGCCAGATGATTCTTTTAACGTCTGTGCCAATTGTTGTAAGGCACCAATTTTGTCTTCAATCAGCACAGAATTATCGGTGAGGTTGAAACAACACATTCCTTTTAAAGTTTCACACCCAAGATTGTGTCGAATCAATAGCGGCTCTGTTCTCGAAGACATCGTCCCTTAATTGTTTTTGTTCAGCATTCAGGGCTGAAAGAGCTTGGGATGTAACGTTTAGTTCTTTTGCTAGAACACAGGCCACTGCATTAAGATTTCTGCTATTACTTACAACGAGGCCCGGAACCCCCACCATAGATACAGCTAATGCTACGTATTCAGCCTTAGATAATAGTCCAGGGGAATCATTCTCATCACAATCAGCAGTGAGAGTAGTGTATGCCCACTTATACCTCCCACCGAGAGGGGTTTGTTCAGTGTTCATTAGGTCAGATTTCCTTGGAAGAGCTGCAGTTACCCGGGCAATGGTGCATGGTCCTCCAGTAGCGTT